ACATTGGATTGAGCAATGCTGGACAACACCTTTTATGGCTTCGGACATTTTTTAAAGAAATTGGACATGCTCAAAATGGACCTACAACATTGCACTGTGACAATCAAGCAGCTATTATTCTTACACGAGATCCACAGTTCCGTGCTTGCACAAAACACATTCAACGGAAATATCATTTTATCTGAGATGACTTAGTATCAAAGGGAGAGGCAGTAATCAGATATGTTCCTACAGGAGATATGGTTGCCGACATTCTCACTAAACCCCTCACTCACGAAAAACACTGGAAACTCTCTAAAGCTATGGGACTATGGTTACACTCAAATGGGAGTGACAAAACCGGATAAACCTAGTCTCTGCTAAAGTAGCCATTGTTCTCCATGGAGTCACCATTGTTTTCCTAGGAGCACAATTGTACTCCTAGGAGTCATTATACTGTAGCGAGTAGCACCTCCGACTATAAGTAGTAGGGGGTTTAGTATAGAAATACCTCAGTCGTTTCTATAGCCTCTTGGGCAGCGGCTGAGTTTCACATAGTTTTCTTAATTTGGAGTATCAGTAAGATAAATTCAGCAAAATGGACTTAGCAAAAATCAGTAATCATTAGCTTTATGTGTTATCATACCAGTATACTATTATATATACCATCAATGGTTCTACCGTCACCCTGTTCCTTACCATCACCTCAAATCACATTGACTCCCTCATCCCAGCTTTGATAGTTCCCAAATGCCAAACCACAAGCAGCTGTGGTGAGGTGTCCTCATGTATACCACTAGTACCAATTATTCCCCCACCACTGAAACCACCTAGCAAATGAATAGTGCCAACAAAGGCTTTTATACCAATATCAACTTTTGATCCCCCCAGCAATTATTTCTAATCAATTTTTACAGGAATTTCAGTACTATCAAATGGTATGCAAATAATCCACCTTAATGGCACCAGTGATAATTCATGCAGTATTGGAATAAATTGGCAGTTTACGGAAAACAGGTTTGTTTGTTCTCTCTCTAGCCTAAGATTGTTCTGATTTTATTCCAGGTTTATACAGAGATGTCAGAATAAAAGGTACACATATTGATTTACTATCTACATTTTTTTTACTGACTATACATCTAGAAACTAGCAGCTTCCATGGTGGATTGCAGAGATTCCTGGTGTTACATTTTCAGGCATTCACTGTGGAAACCAGTTTTTAACCGGCTATGGATAATGTCTAGATACCCGAGTAAAATAGATAGTAACTGTAATCAGACAACAGACATGGGGAAGTTGGGATATAAGATGGAAAGCCACACTTTTTCGAATCTAACTAGAATTCATCTTGTCCTAACACTTGTAACAGTTTGATGATAGAATTTGAATGATTATTTCTACTTAAGAAGTACAGTTGGAAGTAAATCAAAGTACAAATGAAGCCCAATTAATATATGAATTAAGCACTAATTAAGATGTGAATAGCGTACAGATAGACAGAAAAGAAAACTGCTAGGAATCCCCCTCCTCAGCCTAGTACATAAAAATGTCCTCAGGTAGTTGTCTCCTCCTCAACTCTCCACTATGTACCCATTAAATGTGCATTCAATGCATGCCAGCCCACTACAACAGCCGGGTGAACTATCACCTCTCACTTCCCGACCCCAGGACAGCCCCTTTTCAAGTGAACTCAGCTTCACGTCAATTCTTTGACCTATGTGGGGTGGAGAAGACGGCTAAACAAGATGAAAGGATACAAGCATTAGTTGACAACCTTCAGCCCTATCCTGATGATGCACCTTTTATGAAGATGGGGCCTGAAAACAAGGCCGTTTGGAAGTCATGTTGGACTGAGAAGATTGACCATACAGTCAATGTCCACTTTGTCAATGAAATTGTTGATTGTGTCTGGGATAATGAAACAGTAAGTTCAAATAGCACTACAAAAAACCAGACCAAATAACACTTACTTAGGCATTACGGACTGTTCCAGGAGGCAAGCCAGAGCTGGTAGATGCTGACTACAACAAAGATGTCATTATCAAGATGAAAAAATTGTACTGGGGCAACTTACAGTCTCAAGTAAAGGCACGCGCTGGCATACACCAAAGTTGATTGGTAGCATGGACAGGTGTCAATAACAAAGTGAATATTCAAAAAGACTCGCCTTTGCGCCACACAGGCACAGTGCCACATGAAATAGTAATTAATATTACCTTTTTCAAACTTGTGGCTGATCAGCATCACCTCTATTAGGCAATCCAGTCACGCTCACCTTTGCTTTCCATTCAGTA